CTCTTGGAGATGAGGGCAAAGTTGGGGACCCTCCTACCTGGATCCCTGGATGTTTTTCCTAGATGTCAGTAGGAGTGGCACCAGCCTATGAGGGAGCCTACTCGTAAAAGCAGTTCAGATTTGATGCATGGCTATCTGATTGGGGTGTGGATGACCTTTCTTTTTGATCAATATAGATTCAGTACATTGTTCATGGAAGAAGGTCCACTATCTCCTCATAATTTGAGGATGATGTTAATAATTCCAGACTGGATGAGGTCTGTTCCTGGAGTGTTACCTTTTGGACTTCTTCATATGGAGGAGAAAGTTTGTCCATTTCAATTGGTGTTCCTTACTTTCTCGTCGTGATTCCAGTGGCTCAGAATGCATCACTTTATGGCGACAAGTTGGGATCCAACTTTGTGTATGAATAATGCCCTCACCAGCCCCTCCACCTTATCAGTGTGGGATTCTAGCTATAAGTTGTAGCAGAGGTAAGTATGTTTTGGAAGTTAACATTTTCCTAAATTGCAAATGTATTTCAAATAATACTTACTTCTGCTGACACTCTCCTGCTTATCCTCCCCACTAAGAGCCAGTGTTGGAGATTGAGTCAGTCCCAAAAAAAAGTGATAACATTATCTGAATGAGGAGCTTATATACAGTACAAGAATAGAGAGTGCATTGACGTAGGTGGAGAGTATCACGAGATAAATATCGCCAAGGGCAATTGAGTTGGGTATAAATGCTGGAGCAAGCGAGAAAAAATCAGACCAATGATTAGATGGGCAAAGGAAGAAACCCTGAAAGTGAAGTATTAGCTGTAGTGTGAGTGGAGTTAAGTATTATTGGAAATACATTTTCAATTTAGGAAAATGTTAACTTTCATTTTTACCAAGGTGAAATTAAACAATTTGATTTTTTTTTTAGATCAGCAAACTTTAAAAAAAATCAGACACTTTTGGTAAAGATAATATAACTTCGTATAAATTCCCTGTTTTGTAAATATCAGATAGCAAATATAATATCGGTCCAATACTGCCTACTTAAAATTACTGTACAGTCTTAAGTAGAGCTGGGCAATTAGTGGAATTTGATAATTAGTTAATTGTTGGCTTATTAATTGATTATATTCAACTAATTTATTATTCTCACATGTGACTGGATAGTTGGGATAATTGAAAACACTAAGTGTGATTAGTTGATTATTTTCATAACATTAATCAATTTAATCATAATTTTATTTAATCAACTATTTTATGTCAACCTAATCACTATAATTGATGCTCACAGATAACTGAGTTAATTACTCAGTTCTAGTTTTAGGCCTATACCTGTATGTCTTCATATGACTTACCTGTATGTATGTTCATTGTTACTTTGTCTTTAGAGTGAATTGGATGGGAACTAACATTTTTGCATGGGTAGTAATACAGGTGACTTTAAACATTTGATACTTAATGTTATGATTAACCTAAAAGATTCCTTTATATACATCAAAGGTAAGCAGGATGACAGAATAAAAATTGAACCTTTGAATTTTTTGTTTGTGAGTTTTTTTATGTCTATGGGGGGTACTGAGTTTTTAAACAATTATTCCTCTTAGGTTTTCCAAAGGAGGGAGGATTTAGGAAGGATTCCTGACCTTAAGAATTTGTCCGGAGGAAATGTTTTTAAAGTTTATTAATCCAGAGCTTGTTTGAAAAAACAAGGACAAACTTTTGCTTTCATTTTTTTTATAGGTTATTAGACAGGAAAAGTCACATAAAAATTAGTGTTGTTGACATTTATAAATTTTTAAAGAGATAAATAAATATTGTACAGCTAATTTTAGAGTAATTAAATTTACTTTGGTAATAGTGAAAGCTTTACTGAGTTTGATAAAATATGCCTTGTATAATCAGTTAATGAAATTTTAAAAAGAGAAGATTCTACTTCACTGATGTATATATGAATTGTATATATATAATTTATATGGATATAGAAAATGATCCTAAGCTTTGAAAGTTGAAGATAACAGAATTTTGTGTTGTATATATTGAAATATTGACAACAGGTCTAAAGAGGCTATGATTTTATTGTATTAGTGGACTAGTTAGGCCTCATGTGGAATAGAGCTGAGTGATTGATGGACTTGGTTAATCATTGGTCTTGCTAATCAGTTACATTAAACTAATTGATTATTCTCATTTAAGACTTAGATGCTAATTGGTTAAGCTGAACAGCCTTGAATTAATCAAAAATATTAATGAGAAATTATTATGGCAATATTTTGATTACTTGGACAGTTAGAATGACTGAAGACAGTAATAATCAAAAGCACCAATTTCAGTACAGTCTTACCTCCATTCCTACAAAGCTATCTCAATCTTGTTTTTTCCCTTAAGCATTGCTGAAAGATTTTGACACTCATCACACCAGTCTATGTACTTACAAATTTCACACCAAATTTCAACATCTATTTTGCATGTAACCACCCTCCACCAATAGTACTGTGCCACCTATATCGACACAGCTAACACCCACTGATTCTCCTACTCAGTCTTCACTTTCTTGATTGGCACATCATCATTTAGACCTGTGTTTTTTCATACGTGACTACTGTTTATAATTGTACTTCATTGATATTTCAGTACCTTTTTCAACAGTTTTCTTTTACTATTTCTGCATTCAATTGTTTCACATTTTTTTTTTGCATTTGTTTATTGTTACCAAATTAAATGGTAACTTAAAATGACTTCATGATTCAATGTGTTGACAAAGGAAGTTTCCATTACAATAGACAATGCTTCTAATATGACTACCCAGGCATCTGGTTCAACTTTATCTGTTGAGGAGGTACGGGCCTTAATTCACAGGGGTCTAGATTCCTACTTTCAGCCAGCGATTTTTTTCTCATTTTCAACCTGAAAAAGTTTTTGAAGATTAATACAATAAAGGAGAAGAAAATTAGATTGACTTTTTCTGGCACCTTCTTATTTTGGTCTGCCACACTCTACACCTCTACAGGATATCACACCTTTTTTGTTGGCTTGGTTTGTGTGATGGAGAACAATTCGAAGTTGAGCCATTTTTTACAACGAATTGCACCCTTTAGAATGAAATAAGCTGGTGCACACCCTTTTTTTTCTGTCTGTGTCAGGTTTTTTTTCCTTCTCACAAAGTAAGGAGCATACCTGTTTCATAAGCAGTGTGGTGCCCCAATTGTGTGTTTTGGTTTCATCTCTGAGCACACCAGTTATTTCTAGGTGGTTAATTTCCACTTGGTTTCACTGTTAGGTGCCTACACTGGCCCCCTCCATCTTTTCAGTGTGGGATTCTAGTATTGTGCGAGTGGATGTAAGATCATATTGGAAGTTAACATCTTCTTACACTGAAAATGTATTTTTGATAAGTACTTACCTCCTTTCACACTTCCCACCCTTCCTCCCCTATGTTCTTCATTTTATATCCTGCCAATTTTCGAAAGGGAGGATTGAGCAGGAGAATCAGAGGGAGCTAGCTGTGTGGAGAGTGGTCACATGCTATATATATGTTCAAATGTGGTGTAAAATTTGTGGGGTGTATTGACTAGTGTGCTGAGTGTTAAAATTTTTGAGCAATGCTTAGAGGGCAGAAATAAGATTGAGATAGCTTTGTGTGAAATGAGGTAAGTACCTATTGGAAATACATTTTCCGTGTAAGTAAATATTAACTTTCAATTAATAGGTTATTTTATGTGGCACTAATTGATACAATCAAGTTAATCACCCAGCTCTATGTTTAATGGTCAGAGAAACACTGTCTTCTGTCACCTTATTCTTTCTTGTACAGTTCTTTATAGTAAATAACCATGCAAAGAACTAGCTCATTTATAATTTATTAGAACTGTAAAGCACAGGTTTTGTAACAAAACAGTAATTGAAAATATTGTACTTTAATAAATGTTCATGAAATTATAGTGTGTATATTTGCAAAGAACTTATATTACACTAGTTCTTCCTACAACATGTGCTTGATATATAATAAAAATAATAAATTGGTTTACAGTAATTGTTATTAAAACATGATTTTTTGCAGGGAATTTACAGTAGCCTTGTTTAACAATTTAGTTAAGCATCGACACCTAAGTTAAAATTACTTGAATTAGGTATCTAATGTTTATAATCATGAGGTTGAAAACAAGCTTTGTATTTGCATAAAAACATAGATATCAGGCAGGCAGTAGCACTGCCTATGTAGGGATGATTTGGTTTGTTCATCAAAATGATATTTTAAATATCCCCTCAGTAGGTCATCAGAACTTTATAATACCGTACAGTGTTTCCTTTTGTAACAATATCTATGTAATGACTGAGTCAGAAGTCCTGGCAATGTCTGAAAATATCATAGTAAAAAGTTTGAATTTGTTGTTATTCTTTGTTTTGCTTCTTTTTTATTACATGATAACTCAAAAACCAAAACAATGGTGTCAGCCAATTTCACTGAGGTGACATAATTTTAAATGGAGTATCTGCTCTTATAACTATTAGTAATTAAAAAGAAATCGTAATTCTAGTGTAAACGATATTATCATTACCCCTTGAAGTTAGCTTTCTTACAGAAATTTGGTGTTACTTTAGAAAGCTTAAGTACAGTGTGAAACAGTAATTACAAGCCAGAAATAGATAAACAATAAATAGTACAGTTGGAATCTCATTATATTTAGAAGTTGGTTATAAATACAACCTTCCTATGTCTGTTGAAGCACTACTTTTAAAAAAATGAGCAAACAAATAAAGGAAAACTTTAAAAAAAGGGAAGTAAATGTATGGATGGCTAATATCAATATTATAACTATTCAATCACAACTGAATTTAATTTATCCTATTTTTGTCTGTTAACATTCTACTACACTGTGTGCATGT